TGAGCTCCCCCTGACGTCCCATTTTGCGTCAGGCACCTGCCTAAACAAACGGCTCCGTTTGTTAACAACTTTCTTTTTACTCCTTCGGCCTCAGTTTCATATGCTTTGCTTCCTTACTGTAAATTTTGTTGATAAAAGCGTAACTAGAAAATAGGGATTAATTATTATTTTTTTATCAAATCATCAACTTTTTTTTAATCTAAGATAAAGAAAATAAATAGTGGAAAAAAATATTCTTTGACAGAAAAGTCAGTTCATGCACTTAACTGTCAGGAGAATCAAAACAAAACAAATTGTGGAATGAACAAGAAATGAAATGCATTTTATTCTCTTCTTATATAATTCTAATTTCTAGCTATGTTTTCTTTGCCTGTGTTGATACAATGGAAAATATTCTAGACGCAGCCTTCTGTTGGTGAGTTCCAGGAAGGATACTTGTTTTGCCAGCCAAGGAGAGAAATAAAAAAAAAATCCCAAAACCCCACACCACTGGGGGTATAATCATTTAAATGGGATTCTAACAACAATTTCCAAAGTAGAATATTCGTACAATTTCCATCCTCCATTGATTTTACTACGCCTGTGAAAAAGGGCCAAAGCCAAAAGGTTTTTTTTCTTTTTCTTTCTTACATTTTTTTCTACTTAGCTGGTTGATAAATAGAGCACACTAAAAACAACATGACAGTTTGCAGTGGTTGCTGTTAAGACATTTATCTTTCTGATGCTCAATAGAAAGGGAGGAAAGCTTTATAGTGGGAAACATGTGGGGTTCATGAAAATCACTTAAGAACTGCTGAGGCAGACAAAGATAATGTCTCCATGTATGCAAGAAGGAACCACAATTTATTATTTTTTTTTCTTTTTGACAATACCTTGAGCTTAGGTAGAAAAACTATCTAATTTTTTAGGTGTCTGTAATTTGCATTCTGTTCTTCCCTTCCAAAATTCATCATCTTGGTCTTAATTTAATAAATGCCTTAATTTATGTTCTGATATTAGATAAATAGATGAATGGCGAAGTCAATTTTTAAAATAGATGCAATGCTATTGGCGCAGTTGGGATATAAATTTGTTTAGGAAACTTTATAATTAAATGGCAAATGCTTTTTCTTTTACATGAAATATACGGGCAAATATAGGTTTAGTCTTTCACCCTCATGTAAAGATAAGATGCGCTGTACGTTATAAAATCGTACTGACGTTAATAAACAAAATCTTATAACATTTTATTCAAATTGTTAGCTTGGACCACTATAATTTCAAATTATACTTGTTTATGATTTCCCTTGGTACCTTATATCGTGCACAAATTTGTGAAAAGTCATGTTCATATATATATGTAATTCCTGAGTATGCTTAACAGGTTGAAACTGTTGATCATCATAACCATAGACCAGTAAATTGTCCATAACCTTGGCATGCATTTGAACAAAGATCAGCAGAACGGTTTGTTTAGGAGAAACCTCTAATTAATTAGACTATATTTCGGCACTGCATGGAAGCTGTCGCCTGTCGGTACTTTTCAAGAATGAATATATTTATCTATCAGGTTTGAATCTTGAAATCCCAGACCCAGCAGAGACGAGTGCAAAGCCTGGGTGAGTCTAAAATGGGCTAGGTGGATCAACATGACCTACCTTAAACAAAATATATATATATACCAGAAAGTATATAATTTTTTTTTTGTGTAAAAAAAATTAGAGTGAAGGTAAGCTTCCTCTTTTTAGGATGACAGCAGATCGTTACAAGCATAGGAAGAGGATTTATATTAAATTTAAAGATCGCTCCTCAAAGAAAACTGTTAATAACTGAGTTCAAATTAATATTTTACAAATAAAATATTTAAGTTTTATCAACTAAACCAACATGGTGTAAGTATTTAATTTTATTTGCAAAGTAAACAGGGGTTTTTGGGTGTTGTAAGCAACGACTTTTATTCTCTGGTGGGCTACCTAACTACACTACGATAGAGACTCTGGCTAGGACGCCAACCTCTTCACAATTAGCCAACAGACTTTCTTCCAGTGTGGTCACTGCTCACCCCTAGCCCTTGGGTTCTTAGATTTATTAATCTTACCTCACGTTTTGGCTTCTGTAAGGACCAGACTCATCTCTCCCTGCATTCTAGCCTTAACTCTAGTTCTAGTACTCCCTCCCAACTGTAAAGTCACATGCTTGAATCATCCCATAAAAAATTCTTCAGTCTACAAAACCCAAGAGAAGTGTCAAAGGAATGGAAAATGAGGGAAATGTTAATTCTTCTCTGTTGGAAGGGAAAAAGGGGGGAAAAAGACCCAAACGGTCTACTATTGCAGCATTGGCATTGGCTGTCTAACCGAGGAGGGGTAGTATTTTTGTCTCCGGTCTTCAAAGCTGACCAAATTACGTCAGGTTGCAAGCTGCTTTCATCACTGCTTACGTACTCTAACTTACACAGCTAAAGCACAATCAAAGTAAACAAAGATTAAGTGGGAAAAGACGCTTCAACAGCCTGATCAGAGCTGAAACTTGAGAGGAGCCTTTTGCATATATAAAATATTTCTGTACTTTATTGTATATACAAGGCAAGATTCTTGCTTAATTCCTCTTTTAGCATGTTTTTATAATTCAACTGATCTTTGCTTTGCCACCAAGATTATAAAATTGCTATACATATAGAATATGTGAATATATGTTTCCTCAAAGAAAGGACTGTGATCATCTAGTGAAAAGGTTTCTGTCTTTTGAAGCAGCTGGTTCGAAATTGAATGGTGAGAGAGACAGAAATTAGGAGAGAGGGAGACGAACCAAAAAAAAAAGAAAAAAGAAAGGAGTGCTGTTTCAGTTCATTTAAAAACTAATGAGGGCTGAGGAGGGCAGTGCAGTCTCTCTCACATGACTCGGAGGACAAGTGAAAGAGAGTGATTGAGAGCTGGTGGATGGAGGATAGTGATCAGAAAACAATCATCATTGCTAAAAACCAGATTATTCTCTGGCATGGGCCACCATGATTCCAAAACAGAAAGATCACATGTCATTCATTACCCACATCTCCCTCTCAAAACATGTCTTCTTCCTCCAAATTGCCATATAGCTAGCTAATCACCCCCCGCCCCTGTTACTTGCTTTCCAAATATTTCATCATTATCATGTTTTTCCTGATAGGGTTATTATTTGCATCCTCCTTTTCCTACCCATCTCCCTAATTCTCATGTTTAATCATTTCCCCAAGCTTTCAAAATGATTCACAAAGATTTGTAAACCCCAAAATCTCTCTCTCACATTCATATGGGCATTCATATACATTATCTCCGTATATTCTAATGAGTAGGCTAAAGGATCTACCATGTGAAGCAAAATCTAGGACAACCAATAAACATACGAAAAAGAATCAATGATCATTGACTTTTGGGCAGATAGCATCTCTCATTGCTTTATTTCATCAAGTAGTGATTAATGTAATCCGTTTCTAATTATTCCCTAAACACATCTAGACCGGTTTGAGATTTTTTTTTTTTGATAATTAAATGCTCACACCACCCTATATTTCACAAATTATATATAAACCATCCACGTAAATAATCTTTCTTTTATCTAATTGATCAGCAAATGGCATGTGTGGATCACAAGCTTATTAGTATATAATATATATGTCCATTTATATGTGCATTCGGAGTATTTTTTTTCATAGTATTATTTTCTGATTCTATAATAATGAAAGCTATGATAATGCCGGAGGATAGCCTAATTTTTTAAGAAAATGAGATTTTGTCTTTGGGTATAGCTCTCATATGCTGGTCGTTAATTAGTTCTTTTTTTTTTTTTAATTAAGATGGAATAACTTTATAAAAATTTCTCTCTTTTTTTTCTTAAAAAGCAAAGTTAGTCCTATATGTATGCATATATAAAAGTCGTTTCGCCATTTCTTGAGATTCTATCACTAGAATTCAAAAGGAAAATAATGGAGTGTATAAGAAAGAAATAATGGACTTTTGGTTTTTTGACTTTCTAGATAAAAAAAGATTTAATTTTTCTCATGCTTAATTCTATTGATTTATATATTTATTTTTAAAAAATGATAATAAGTTGGATTGAGTTTAAATTTCAATGCTTGTAATTTTTTTTTAACTTTTACCCTTGATTTTCTTATAAAAAATGGAATTATCCTCGGAAAAAATTACCTTAGGTACAAAAATTGCCCTAGCTAATACGCAGCCGAACAACTTTGATCATAATTATATCTTAGTGTCAACGGAACCCGTCTTTGGAACAAATAGTCTAGGTTATTAATCAAACTTAAAATCGAAATGAAGGACAAGAAAGGAAAATAATAACAATTATTGAAATAATAGGAGCCATTTTTAACTTGTAGTTTATGATTGCGGCAGGTAAGGATTCCTTCAATCTTGCCACCGATTGCTCCGCACCATCTTTCTACTCTCTATAGTTAAAAAAGGTGATATCCATCATGCAGGAAGAGAAAAAAATAATTAATCTCATTAATTATATTACCATTAATAATGTTGAATTGATAAGTAGATTTGAATAAAATTATTTGTAACATGTATCCTAGAAATTAAAATACCCAAGAGAGAAAATTCAAGGAATTATTGGGATTATACATAAGATTAATTAATTAAAAAATCTGTCATTAATTTTCTTTTATACTTTTTTTTCAATTACTATAAGTTGAATAAATAGGTTAAAATTAAAGCCTGTACTGGGCAGGGCCAGGAAAGGTCCTTCATCCTATACACATACAAGCAGTTCCCAAGAGAAACGAGATTTAGGACCACTTGGGAAATCGGTAGACAAAGACCATGGGGATTTAAGGTATAGGACGGGCCTTCTGTTAACAGCACCAAACCTATTTATTATCCCCTACTAGACATGGTACGAGGAAGACAAGCTTTGCATTGCGGTTTCTTTGTTTCTTATCATAGATTTTGCAGTTGAGTTTCCCAACCCCGAATCATTGGAAACATAATAAAGAGAATTTGTTAATTAATTAAGTAGTGTAAAAGAAAAAAATAAATAAATTGAGAGTTCTTGAAATGAAATTGTACTACTGTAGTTGTTTAATCCCAATAAATAAGAAGGACACTATATATCCGCAGCATGTATCTGACAGAAAAAGAATAATGATGGAAATTGAACATATGTTAATTAAAATTATTTATTTCTAAAATGAACAAAAAAAAAAGAGAGATAATATGATATTAATGCAGCAAAACCCTCTTCACATTAAAATTTCGAGTTCTTCTGAATGACAAATTTTCTGCACATTAAAGCAATTCTAGTCTGCAGGACAAATCCATGAATCAACTGTACCTTCAGCTCTAGAAGAAACGTTCTCCAACCCCTTGTCATGGTGAAAATCTGATGAGGAAGCTGAGTAGTTCAACTTGCAGCTGTTAATTCTTTGTGAATTACTATGATCATTACCATAATTCCCTTCTAAAGGCCTCAAATGATCTTGATTCTCATCGTTCAATCCAATCCCATCTCTCCAGTTTCCATGACGTGCCCCGTCCGATGTTACATGACTTTGTAAGCTACCGAGGTTTGCATTGACATGACTATGACTCAAGCCCAATTCATCAAGGGAAGGCATGGCTGAACTTTCCTGGGACTTCACACCGAAGCCAGGCAAATTAAGAGAAGGGTGAAAAGGAGGAGGCTGGAGGAAGGACTGGAAAGTTAGGATGGGACTCTGGTTTTGCAAGTTTAACATATTCTGAGGCTGCTTTAGTAGGCCTAAATCAGAAGGAAGCTGATAGTTACTAGAAGTTGGATTGAAAGCACTGGATGCGGCAGCCATAGAAGTGGGAATGGAGCTATTGCATGAAGTATTGGTAATATTGGCAGCATCAGCTAAAGGATTATTTAATAACGAAGGAGAAGGTGAGGATACAAATGGAGTTGGCTGAACCCTTTTAGCTGAGGGACGTAGAGGGTACAGCGAACCTAAAGGTTCCAAATGACTGGACCGAATACCTGAGCCAGAGCCAAAAAGATCAAGCCTTCGAGAATATGATGAACCCGAAAATGGTGGTGCAGGGATTCCAGTGAATTCTTGCACCATTGCTCTAAAATTCGTTGTGTCGGTGGTGAGAACTGTAGTGGGTGCTCTCCTTGAAGCTCTTGTTCGCTTCTTGGGGTTCTTGACAACACTTGTCTGATCAGAATTTGTTAAAGATCTTACACCATTGTCATGAGCTGGCCTTGATTGCATCGATGATAAGCTTGGAAATGAACCTTGACTAAGTCCTTGTGCACCTAGGATAGACTGTCCTGATGAAGATGAGCCTGGTAGGTTACCAAGGTCAGTGCAGTTGGGTTCAGATCTTAGGCTCCGAGGCCTAACCCCATCAAGATTTAGCGGTGAATTGTTTGGTTGGGATTGAGCGAAAGGGTTGAGATAAGTTGACGAAACATCAAAGAAAGTGGGTGGGTGGTCTTGGTGGTGCGAGACAAGTGACGGATGTGGATTTGATAAGGGACTAAAGTGGCCTGAGGTGTTCAAAAAAGCTGGGATTGACTCAGGCCGTGAGTCATACTCTTCATCACCACCACTCGAAGATTGCATACTACTACTGTTACCAGAATCCATGGCAAAAGCTTTGATTATTTAAAAGTGCAACAGAAATAAAGAGCTCAAAACCTACAGAGGGCTGGGGTATATGTAGATGGTGATAGTTGCACAGTCGCAAAAACAGAAACAAAGATATAGCCTTAGCTCAAAAAAGCAGTTATGAAGACACTGCAAAAGGACCCAAAATATGAATGAAAAAGAAAATACATCCTTCTAAAACAGCTTCGAGAAAGTTGTCATACCCTTAAAGCCCCCCCTGATATCGCTCCTCTTTCCTCTTGTCTTTCACCCGAAGAAGAAAACTATTACAGTTTGTCAAACACGACAAGCAAAGAAGAAAGGGTTTTCTCTTGTTCTTCTTCTTCTTCCTCTGTCACCCTATCTGATCAGAATCAGGGTTTTTGGAGCAGAAAAAGAGAGAAATGAAAGGAGACGAAAGGTTATTTAAGCTTTTAGCTCTAAAAAAGAGGGGGAGAGAGAGAGAGGGGGTGTCTCTCATCAAACATATGTTTCCACCAAGAAGATCCTCTCTATAGAGTGCGGGGTGGGGTAGCCATTGGAGTAGAGAAAGAGTTGGCGGTGGCTGGCAACGGGTCAAACTCAAAGTGAATGAGAAAGAGAGAGGTTGGCTTAATATGGTATGAATGTGAAAGCAAGAAAACAATATGAGGTTAATTTAAATTGTACAGCCTACAAGAAAGACCAGGCAAGTAATAAAAGAATTTAAAGGATAATACTTTTTTTTAATTTAACAAAAGGATAATATACTTAAATAAAGAGAATATGAAAAAGAAAAAAAATAAATAGAAAAAAGAGTATAATATAAAGTAGCGATAGCAATATGAAGAGAACAAAACCATTACTTCCACCACAAGGGATCACTATTAAAAATTCTCGCTAATGTTCACATTATTAATTTAAAAGTTTTTTTCTATCAATGATTTTATTTTTATATATACTTTTCATGATTTTTTTATTCTTTACAAACTAAAATTCCAACATTCTAGATTTGAGATTTTAGTCCGTGAGATTAATCTTTAAAGTATCTTTTCATATGAAGCAGATCAATTAATTAATGGGTATTTTTCTTTTCTTTCTTTTTTATTTTTTCGTGGTTTTGATTAGGGAAAAATATTATTAAGAAAAATTCAGCCTTCATGAATTTGGTTAATGGAGGATACGGTTGGTTATGTAATACTCCAGAGGCACACATCTAAAGGAGTAAACAATTATAGATGGAAATTTCTATGAATTTTATAAGTGTATGGAGGAGTAGCATTATAATTGCATATCAGCAATGCTCTACCAAATCTCAGCCTTTGACCAAGTCAGAATTCAGAAACGAAATCCAAGCCATAATTGAGAAACATCAGAGAATCTTTTACCATTTTCATCATATGAGATTGTTATTGACTACAGGTTAAATGTTCTTTTATTTCCATATCACACCCTGTTTTTTTTTTTTTCCTTTTGTATTGTACTTAAAAGAAAATACATTAATTAAAATTTTCATTTCTTTTAATAGCATTAATAAGGGAAGTTTAATATTTGATGAATAATTTTTAAAAAAGTCATACTTTTTTTTTTACATGAAAAGATCCTAATTAAAGTTAAAACAAAAAGTTAAAAGTGCTTTTAACTTAATCTTATATTTATTTAATATCATTTATTAAAGATGTTATATGAATCAATTTAATTAAATTTTAAATTCAAAATTTTAAAACAAATTTTTTTTTATTGTGCATATCATCTTTGTGCCGGGACCATACTAATATTTTCACTATTGTTTCAATTTTATCCGATGTCCAATAAGAACAGTGATCACTTTGACAAGTTTGGATAGATGAATTCAATAATACACTAAGTTTTGATATAATACTTCTCCTTGCATATATTGTTTGAACAAAAGTTGACACATGATTACTTGATATGTATAACTGTTAAATCTAAATAAAAAAATTACAAAAATACAATAAATTTGAGAGGCTAAAACTAAGCTAAGGTCCTTGTCAGATATTGTACTACATTTTATCTTTACTTATTTTTCTGAGAAATGGGTATTGGCTTGTCCTACCCAACTAGATCCCATATCAAACCCTAAAGGATCCAAATTGAAATCTCTCAAGTCTTCTGTGGTTACACGGAAAATATAAAAATTTGGGTCTCTATCGTTTGTACCGATATCATACGCTGCCTTTCTTTCACATCGATCTTTCTCACTTTCTTATTCATACCCTTGTACTAACACGTGAGTATTGGGCCTTTGCTGGGAGACAAGGGTTTTTACTACTTGATTTGCGGTTATCATCTCCCCATATTATATTCTCATCAATTCTCCCACATATCTTTGCCTTTCCCTTTTTTTTTTCCTTTAATTTCTTTGTTTTATAACATGTCGAAAGATGTAGTAGCAGATAATTACAATTTCCAGTGAGGAAGTGTGGAGAATAGAGATCAATCCACATAGAGATACAAATTTTGAACATGTTAAGAATAATTTTTCTGTTTTGATATGTTAAAATATAACGTAGCAAATTAAAAAAAGATAACAAACGAAAGAATTGAATTTAAATGTAAAATTATAGAAAACTTAAGATTTAATAATCGATAAAATAGATAATTGCTTTTGATTTTATTACCAAAAAGAAAGAAAAAAAAAGATGATTTGGGTTCTTATCTTAATTTGAGATTTTGATCTTAGGTTGGCATCCAACTGCCCCCCACACAATTCACAGTTTGTTACACGCAAGTTTGCTCCCCATCTTTGAAAATTTTTGGCTCACCTAAGCCACAAGCATATTCTCATTTCCCACCACCACCAACACCACCTACGTACGAGAGTTCTCTTGACCTGGCCCTGCATGCCAGGCAGCCATTGCTGATTCAGCGAAAATAGCTTTTCCAATATTCTGTGGATACCACAAAATGACCCATTGGAAAAATTAACCAGCAATTTCTAACGTTAATTACACCTCTCGTGCTGTTGTCTTATCGTCACGATAATGCCAAGCATCGCCTCCAACCACGTTACAATGTCAGAAGATCATATAATAGAGACCGACTCTTTTGACCTCTGCTATCCAAAGTTTCAAACTCTGAACTCCGCCTTTATCACCCTCTACACTGCCAATTCTTCAATTTCTTTATCTTTTTCTACCCACATTGCATGGCCACAATATTTTGCCTTCTCCTTTAAAACCATTTAATTACTTTAATTTCAGATATTCATTGCCAATATTTTAGTTATTATAACTAATATTTCGAGAATAAAAATTTGAATTTATTAAATTGAAAATGAATTTTTAATACTGTTGAAAAATAAAAATATCTTTAATCATATTAAAAAGAATCAAATTGAAAATGACAATGCTTTAGTGTTCTTGAAACTCTTTTTTTTCTATGTCATCGGGTTTATAACTTATCAATGTCAAAACGTGTACACTAAAATGCTTTATTTTCTTGTACTATATAGTTCACATATCTGGTTAATAAGAAGCTACAAAGGCACATCAAAGTGGAGAAAACAACTTTTAGACTCTATGTCTATTGCCAATCAGTTTGATATTTTAAAGCACTTATGTTACATTTAAATGGTCAATTTAATTGATTTTGATGAAATTAAAAACAATAATAGAGGTAATATTAATTATTATAATGGTAATATTAATTACTACAATGATAAAATTAAAATCAATAATGAGAATATGCATTTAAATGAAACGTAACATTGGTGGTGAGATGAATCATAATAAAAATAATAATTATTAAAAATATTATATTAAAATTTATATGTAATAAAAAATTTAATTATTTTATATTTATAAAAATAATTTTAAAATACTAAAATTATTTTTATGTCAAATAACAAAATTTTTAATAAATAATTAAAAATTAATAAAAATAATAATATGTCAAATGATTTTTTAAATGTATAGTAAATTCTCAACTTATTTATTTATTATATAAATAAAGCTCAAAGTATTTCACATTTCGATTCAATCAACTTGCTGGTCATCTGGATTCTTAGCCTTTAGTTTTAAACTTTTAAATATATAGGTAAAGTGGTAATAAAAAGATACTAGAAGCACAAAAAATGATTACAAGCTCAATTTGAGATTAAACATTTAGGTGATTACTCAATTTAAGATTAAATATTTTAATTTATACAAATAAAAATTAAACGTTATCAATTTATAATAATATAAAATTTTTTTCAATAAAAATTTTGCTATGAAAGATGTGTCATTAAGTTTAAAAATCATTACAAATAAAAATTACGTGAAACTAAGCTGCCAATCCTTGAATGACAAATGGAAAGGCTTTTGCCTTTTCTTCTAAGCCATTTCATTTCATTTCATTTCTTCTTTACGAATTGCAAGTCTGTAAAATTTACATCACGATTTCCTCTCTCTTTTTATTCTGTTTAAATCTTATGCTTTTTTTTTTCTCTACTATTTTTCTTTTTTTTTTCACACCAAAAGAAAGTCAACGTCATCCCCTCTCAAATTTACTGGTTCCAAAAAAGGGATACACCTAGATGAAGTTAAAATGAGTATTTTCTCATTTAAAACCACATTTTGGCTGTGTAAATCCCCTGTATTTGGCTATCAAATGGTATTATTATCAACTATTCCCATTAAGTTTAAAATTTCTAGACATTGTTGTAAAGTATATTCTTAGGACTTGTTCTTCTTATTGCAAAGTCAAGCGTCCATGGCTATTGAACTTTCACTCAAAACTCGAACTTGAACTATAATGCTAGCATTTAAGTTGATGAGAAGCAGTGTGATTCCTTGCTGTTAAAAAGGAAAATCTCATATATTAGCTGAGTATAGAAAAAAATTGCTTTGATACTAAATCTAAGTGAAAGATTCACTTATAGATTATTTAGAACAATACGTATAAACTCGTACACTTTTTGTCCCAAAAAAGCTCATTGACAAGACATTGCTCTCCATTAACCGATGTTAGAGAAGAGCACTACAATATATGAATATATCTATCAGACTTTTTCACTTGTTGAAGATTAATTTTCAGATTCATGCAAAATTGTTTAAAAATTATTTAAAAGTAAGATCAAAACCTGACATTGGTTTAATAAATCATTTGGAGTTCAAGTAGTATTTATAGTAATCCGGATGTGGGACAAATATAGCAATGTTAAGCTTAGGTTATCGACATTTTGACTAGGTAAATGTCAAGCTTAGATTTTTTAAGGATCCTTTGGCTTGCTTGGCTTCTTTAACGTTTAAAGTTGAAAATAAATCGTTGGAAGGGATGGTTATTGAAAACAACAATCATATGGAATTGTTGGTTGTCGATGAAGTTGGAGTAAGAGTTGTAATTAGAGTAGTTCTTATCGTCGACTTTGAAGTGATGGTTATTGGAAGTAGCATGAATTTCTTCACCTTTCATCTTTTTTGGAAGTCAAAGTAAAAAAAAAGAAAAGAATGAAATAGAGGCGATTTAGATCGATGAATTTTTAGACAACTATAAAAAAATTTAATTGGATAGATGTAATGAAGGTTTTAAGAGTAAAAAATAATGAAATTTTAGGGTGAAAAGATGTAGATGAATAGTAGCACACTAGTGAGAATATGAGTTTTAAAGATGGGCAAAAAATGAATTTTTAAAAAGAGAAAGGAAAAACTTATTGCTCTTTTTAAAAGAGGAAAAAAAGAACTAATT